TAGACTCTGCCCTGGTATGAGTTGTGTCGAGCTATTCATTAGTCTGTTTGAAAAATATGAAATTGATAAAATGGGTTATTAATCCGTACAACTGCAGCAGTGGAGGACTATTATTCTGCTGCGTGATACTGCAGAAGAACTGATGACGGCACGGTTTGATCTTCGGCTGACCAATCAGCAGAAAGGGGCGTTTAATTCCCGCCCACATGTAGAAAGCGAATATTCAAGCTGTTTATTCATTTTTCCACCCATGAACGAAAAACAAAAATTTAAGCTGAATTCTCGTTTTTCGTTTTTTGGAAAAAAACGAAAAAGGAGCCGTTTTCTCATTTTTCTACTTTCAATATTAAATAAAAAAACGAATGATCGAATGATACACGGATTCATGTGCTGATAAACTGTCAAAATAGTGGAGTAATAATGTAATTTTCTTCTTTCTTTCTTTTTTCCTCCTTTATATATGATTATATTGTGTTTGATTTAATTAGATAAGTAATCGTCGAACTTCCTCTCTTCTGTTTGTCCTGTGTAGCATGACCAGGTGATTGTTATTTGACTAATTCATTGCTGCTCAAAATGAACTCAGATTGTGTTTGTTACTCACACCCTGACGAAGGCAAAATAGCCGCAACGCGTAGGTGTGCACTTGTCACCTGTTTTTAAAACTTATAGCCATGATGAAATAAAGGCTTTTTACATAAGTAAAAATAAGACTTTTAATAAATAAGACTTTTTGAATAAGATTTGAGTGCCTTGGACTACTATTATTCTTATGAGTTGAATCATCCTTTGCACCCAAAGAGCACCGAGACAAGAACCCTATACCCCGTGTAGCACTTCTTTTGCATTCTTTATTTCGAGAAACTGTCAAAATATGTTTGTGATTGATAAAATTTTGTATACTTTCCCCCCAGATCCCATTAAACAGAGATGTAAATGAAAGTGTGATATAAATGAAAGAAGTGTGGAAGTGCATCAGTTACTACATATCTTTCTCAACTCTGGCCCATGAGGTCAACTTTCCTGCAGAGTTTACTTTAGATCTAAACTCACCTGCCTGTAACTTTCTAGTAATCCTGAAGACCTTGATTAGCTTGTTCACATGTGTTTAATTAGGGTTGAGCTAGACTTTTCAGGAAAGTGGACCTCAAGGGCCAGAGCTATAAACCCCTGAATAGAGTCTATCCTCAACTCTATCCTCAGCTCTTAGCCAGGTTATGCAATACATTAGTAATATGTTAATAGCAGAGGTGGGACCAAGTCATTGTTTTGCAAGTAACAAGTAAGTCTCGAGTCTTTGCATTCAAGTCTCGAGTCAAGTCCCAATTAAAATAAAGCTATGTAAACAATTGCATTTTTACAACACTACAAGTGTGTCCCATCAGGTAATGAAAAGTTCGACACACACTTGTGGTCTTCATGCTCACTTGAACACTTGGGCCAAATACAGGAAATACGTCATATAAGTAGTCAAGTGGTCAAGTGCAAAGACCGCAAGTGTGGGTATTTGGACAAGGCTGTAGAACAGCTCAGATACAGGAAGAAAAACGTACACAATGGCCGCACACGCAAAGACAAAAATATTCTACATTTCATTAGGTTTTTGGCTCATTATAGGTGAGTATTAAATGTTGTGATGTTTGTTTTTAATAGATCATGTTTATCGTTTTGTAATGGCACATTTTATGCTAAGCGTGTTTTCTGAGAAGACTAAACAAATTAAGAGGTGATTTATTGTTAATTCTTGACATAATAATGATTTGCATGTTGTTTGTTTAGGTGTTGAAAGCTTCGACGCTTGGTCAAACCATAGATTAACAGTTCAGACTGGAGGATCTGTCATCATCCCATGTCATTATGACAAGAAATACACACAGCAGAAGAAATACTGGTTCTCAGAGATTGATAAAACATACAGAAACACCTCCGAGGAGAATCTATCAATAATTGATCATCCTGATCAGAATCTCTTTACTGTGTCTATGAGAAACCTGGAGAATGAAGACACTGGACTTTATTATTGTGTTGTGGACACTGAAGGAAATCTGGCCAGCACATATGTGGTTTATCTCAAGGTTCAATCTGGTAAGAGATTTTGTATTTATTTTAATCACATTCTAATGTTAAATATGTGTTTTATTATCTCAAATGACTGGGGTATGTGTGTGTTCAGCTCTTGGTGGTGCAGATATAAAGATCAGAGCTGTTACACAGTGGGGAGGACTGACACATCCCAGAATTCATCAGTCCAGATCAGTGATGATGATGATGGAGGAAGTTCCTTCACTGTGCTGATGACTGAACTGAGACTGACTGATTCTGGCTGGTACTTCTGCTTTGCTGGACAGGCAGTGAGTCATGTTCATCTCACTGTAACTGAGGCAGAACCAGACAAAGAGAAATACACGTCAGTATTCAAACATTTGTCATTGACGTTTCTCAGAATCATCTTTGTGGAATGGATCTGTATTTGTCTGCATTTTGTTGTCATGCACTATTTCCTCAATTTCTTTTTCCTTTTACTCTAACGATCATTTCTTCATTGCCTACATGATTTTTCTTTTCTGTTGTTTTTTGTTTTAATCTTTGCAGAAGTGCAACAGGACATCACAAGTATAATAATAATACAATGAAGTCATTGACAAACCACAAAAGTACTACATCTGTATTCTTTAAAATAAATAAAGCTTAAACTTTATACATTTATTTATACATACACATATGTAGTTGTTTTTTGGTGTTTGGCTTAGTGTTATGTTAGAATCATTATTATACTCATACCTTTTGTTCTTTTAATATTTTTGAATTGTTTTTAGCTTTATTTTTTTTGTTTTAATTTAAATGTTTTAGTTTTGAATTGTTGTATGCATTTGTCATTTTTATTTAATTTCTTTTATTTTCTTAAATGTGTGTGTGTGTATATATATAGTATTTATAGAGTTTTAGCTTTTAGTTTTAATTACTTTTTCTTATTTGTAAGTCGCTTTGGATAAAAGCGTCTGCTAAATGACTAAAAGTAAAGTAAAGTAAAGTAAACTAATTCTACGACTATTAGGCTGAAATATTTCAGATATTTCTTATTTTCTGGTGCCATTTATGCAGCCGATTTAGTCCCACATCATTTAAAAAAAACTATTTGAAAAGATTTTAAAATGTTTCTTTATTTCTCACAGAGATAATGAACCCCTGAATGTGTGGCTTCCAGTTTCAGCTGCGCTTCTGCTGTTATTGATTCTGATCGGTGTTTTCATCTGGAGATTGAGACGGAGACCCAGTCAGTTTGACCTCTTTTTTTTTTTTTAATAATTCATTTCATTCAATTCCATTTTATAATATATTTCAAAAGCACAATTTCTGTATATAGTATATCAATTGTTAATGTAATGTTATTGTTTCTCTTTTTTTTAAATGAAGAGCAAGACCAACACCAAATCAGAGAGAGAAACAGCAGCACAACCATTGACAGAGTAAGTCATTTAGTTTATGAGAAACTACTTATGAAAATGTTTGTTTGACAACATCAGTGTTCAGTTTGGCAAATTTTTTGAAACCATCTTTAACATTCTCTAAATTCAACATTACTTCAACGTTAATTCAGAGTAGAATTAACATTCTATTCTGTAAGTGCAATTTTCTGAACTGTTTTATGGGACTTCAGAACTCTGTTACATGTCCACAAAATGTAGAAGTAACTCACCCAAAACATTTAATTCGTGCTTCAAAATATAGTTATCGTGCCAGCAAATTGGTCAGTGCCAACAAAATTAAGTTTACTTGTCATTGTGTGAGCTGCACTGGTCAAAATGTTTGGATGTTTATTCACCATTTTATTTTTATTGTATTTTTTGTTGGCACTGACTGCCAACTGTCGTATACAGATATCAATTAGATGGCTATTCCTGGCAACGGCTCTACTTTTAAACTGACGCCTGCCATGGTGTGTTTCTTATTTGTGTCTGATAAATTACATACCTGGATAAAGATGTCACTGTTTGACACTGTACAGTACATTTTTGTAGCAGTGTTTTACATTTGCATGTCCATTTTTACATATTTCTTTCATGTGAAGTCATGTATAGTGAACAGGAAAACAGCCACAAAATGACATCCCGGGAAGCATTGGGTTGGCCATGGAACCTGTAGTTTATTAAATGAGTCACATGTTGATTTCTTGATATTTTTTCTGTATCGTTTTGTGTGAAATGCAGATCTACTCTAAACCTGAAGATCCTGTCATATACAGCACTATAAATGATGAAAACCCTAATCTAAGTAGACCAGACAAGCACTGATGTGATGAATTCAGACATAATTATATATCCTGTTTATTATACAATCCCTTTCTCCACAGGATCCCATCAAGGACATAACCTACTACAGTATTACTGATGATGTTCCTCGGAGTGAAGCGATGAAGTCTCCAGCAGGTGGAGCAATATACAGCATAATATACAGCACTGTGGGTCCACACTGACAGCAACAGTGGCAACTAGAGATGCACCGATTGCAATTTTCTTGGCCGATTCCGATTTCTGATTTTTTGTTAGTGTGATCTGCCGATACCGATTTTTGCCGATTCCGATTTTCTTTCTAAGAACTATAATTGACAGCATATACAAACAAAAATCTACTTTTCTTCAATATAATAAAGTTGTATTTTCATTTTAAAAAACACAAGTATAAAGTCAGTAATAAAATAAGAACAAATAAAAAAAATTGCAAAAAACAGCACAAATAAATGCAATAGAATAAAGAGAGCTATGAAACTAAGTTTTTCAGGTTAAGTAAGTTTTTATTCAGGTAAGAAATACTACAGAAATTAAAGTAATCAAATGTAAAATAACACATCCAGTGTTATTTTACATTTGATTACTTTAATGTCTGTAGTCTTCATTGTAAAAATTACATGATCAATATTATCTTTCAACGTTCAATTTAAATAAATGTAATTGTACAAACTATGTAGGCTACGATTTCAATTTGTTTATTGTGAAATAACTCAAACATATGTTTTTTTTTCTGTCCTCTGATAAAGCATTGTTCAGGGCTGCTGTTCCCAAAAGCTTTAATGCTTTCTTATGATGATTTTGGGAAACGCAGCCCTGTTTGAATACACTTTTAGAGGTGAGTGAACGCTCTCTTTGATGGATTGGTTCTGTATTGCAACATTTGCGTGTGTTCAGGTGAGCAGGAAAATAGTTCTATCCTACACAATTACTTGCGAACAAAGGTTATTCATCCAATTCAATGCATTTGTACGCATTATTATTATTATTATTTTAAATAAACAAAATCACTGGTAAATAAAACACACCTTAGTATCGATATTTTTAGTTTGAGTATGGATACTTTCGGTACTCACGTCAGTATCGATATATCGATACTTAGGATCGATACGCCCATCCCTACTCATTTCACACAGCGTGATTGTGAATCATCGACAGCTCCAGATATTTAGCATGACATATATTTCATGGGCGGCAATGTGTCAGCGATTCCCTCAGATCGCGTCTTTGATAATTCACACTGCGTGATTGTCACTCGCGTGAACGAGCACCGATTTGCCTCCGATTTCAGGCATTTGTCGGCGATTTCGCAAAACCTGTCGGCGAGTGAAAAATCGGGCTAAAATCGTGCAGTGTGAACTCGGCATGACCAGCCGATCACCGATCCTGGCCGATCATGAGGAAAATCGGCCGATTCCGGTCCCTTCACACAAGAACACAGAAGCTCCTGACCAAGAGAAACAAAATTAGCAGCAGAGGATTGTCATCACAACTTTTTTTGTAGTGTTTTTTTTTTTTTTTGTACTATAGTATCTCTGTTTAATTTCTTCATTGTAAAAATCACTTTAAGTTTACTTTTACAGTGTTCTGTTGTTTGCATGAATACAAACAAGCATATTTAAAATTAAATAAAGGTATTTTGCAGTTGTATGTGTCTTGGTTTCAGGTTCCTATCCTTGTCCTATGCCTTATTTTCTAATAAGTATACACAGCTTTTGCATGCCGTCAACAAAGATGGTCTGCTCATTCTGTATAAATGTATCACACACTTTGTGGTGAGCTCATATGTATGTATCGGCCTGCTGCTGTTGCACTCTGGTCTACACTGATCGGCACTGGAAGTGGAGCAGAAGTCAGTGTTTCTGCTTGAATGTTTAAGCACTGCTTCTGTTCTTATGTTTTTGTGGTTGATTTCTGTCCAACACCCACAGTGCAGATTCTCACATTATTTTCTTTTTTGCTCAGAAGTTCAGCACGCTCATTACAGGAACCAATGCAACACAGAACTGTACTTAAAGATTTTTTCTTCTTCTGAGATACAGAGAAGAAATGGGGCCTGCATATATCAAAAATAGTGGCGAACATGATATCAAACAGCAGACATTTTATTATGAAAATACCAGCATAACTGCATTTACAAAAATGTATACTGTAGTTCACTTGTTAGTAATTGTACAAACATGTTCAGCATAGCTTTATAAGAGGAGAGAACAGATCAGATATTAAAAATGTCTGGTGAAATCTGATGAAAGTTTCCCCAACCAATATTTACTGTTAAATTAATAATAGTAAGGAAAAAATGTAATACATAATTAGGGGTTATTTAAAACAAATTTTTTTTTTAAGTAAGATTACTTTTTTATATTAGACACTTTTTGCATTGTTTTCTCAAACCTTGAATGTTTAAGCACTGCTTCTGTTCTTATGTTTTTGTGGTTGATTTCTGTCCAACACCCACAGTGCAGATTCTCACATTATTTTCTTTTTTGCTCAGAAGTTCAGCACGCTCATTACAGGAACCAATGCAACACAGAACTGTACTTAAAGATTTTTTCTTCTTCTGAGATACAGAGAAGAAATGGGGCCTGCATATATCAAAAATAGTGGCGAACATGATATCAAACAGCAGACATTTTATTATGAAAATACCAGCATAACTGCATTTACAAAAATGTATACTGTAGTTCACTTGTTAGTAATTGTACAAACATGTTCAGCATAGCTTTATAAGAGGAGAGAACAGATCAGATATTAAAAATGTCTGGTGAACCATTATTTACTGTTAAATTAATAATAGTTAGGAAAAAATTTAATACATAATTAGGGGTTATTTAAAAAAAAATTTTTTTTTAAGTAAGATTACTTTTTATATTAGACACTTTTTGCATTGTTTTCTCAAACTCTGATATAATTTTCTTTTATCTCATGCTACAAATGTTTTGCTGTTCTGACAGTTTAGAGTTTGAACATGCTTTTATTTTGTTAATCAAATTTTGCTTTTTCAAAATAATTTATACCAACCCCCATGAACCCTTTCCCTCAACTCCACCCCATTTTATTTGAAGTGTTTTAAATAAAAAATATAAACAGAAATAAATGTTGTAAAACACAAATTATGAAAATTATTGAACAAACAATAATAATAAAAAATAACCTTACAATTAAACATTACAGTTTGTGTGCTTTAATCGCGTTCATAGTTGTGTCAAATTAGTGGCTGATATAGAAAAATGTTGTTCAATCAGTCGCAGTAAATGCAGAAAGTCATCTGCTCAGACATTATTTCTTAAACATTTCGACAGTAATTACATTACTGTTAGCATACATTCACAAATCAAAATAGAGCCCATAAATAAAATATGTATTTGTTGTTGCTAGTGTGATGTTGCTGGCTGCAAACTGGCTAAATTTGCTCACTTGCTGGTGCTTATGTGGTTTAAGGCGATATTTCTCCTCTTCCTCTGAAACAGGAGGAAACACAGACACTGCAAGACCTGACCAGCTCTCATGCACATGCACTCCGCTATGATTTACACTCTGATTCTCTCTGGGATTTTACTTCACATCTCAGGTAGTAATAAAACACTTACAATTCTCTCTTATAATTAGCGTTGTTAAACTATTGCATGGTGTTTTGTTAAACTTGCATTTTTACAATTGTTTAACTTGAATTCTTTGAGCTTTGAATTCTTACGTTTCGTACATGTGCAGTTTATGGATGTTTTCATTTAATCTTGTTTACAGATGAAGCTGTAATTAATGCACTGAATATCGGAGTGAAATCTGGATCACCTGGAATTTTTCCCTGTCTATATGATAAAAAACATAAAGAAAACCGTAAATACTGGTGTGAGGGGTCATATTGGGTCTCTTGCAGTATTTTGACATATGCAAATGAGACAGGAAAATATTCCCTCACTGATTATCCAGCCCAGAGTATTTTTACAGTGCAATGGGAGAATCTGCAGACCTCAGACTCTGGATATTACTGGTGTGCTGTGGAGATCGGTGACTATAACACTCTAGACGCCGGTTATTATTTGTATCTGACGGTACGATCAGGTAAGAATATCTTTCCAAATTCCAAATTATTGTAATAATGTGGCTAAGTAATGTTATAAAACATATAAAAGGTTGTTGTTGGATTATGTGTGATAGATATTTATTTCTGTAGCTAAAAAAAAGAATAACTAAAAAAGGAGAACTTGACAGGGCAATGACTAGCTTAATGTGAACCGATGTGGCCATAATTGTGCTTAATTACTGAGAAATCATTATTTTTCTTCAGTTACCCAATATAAACGCTAATTCAGATTATAATTCCTCTGAACGATTCCGGTTTGCAGAGAATCAGATCTCAGAAACCGTGGCGAATGGTTCATACAGTAGGCTAAGTGTGTTGATCCATTAAAGTAAAAACCGGCTCAAGAATTAATCGGACCATTCTGTTTTTTACTCAGAACCGACTCGTAAAAATCGTTCTGGATCGGATTAATCTGATCGCTGAATGCTGATTAAATAAGCGTTTTGTGGTACACGTGCGACGCTGGCTGAAATCAGAATGGCAAATTGAAATAGAGGTCTACTATTTCGAATTTCACCTCAGTGTATTTTTGTAGGCTGTTCAGTGCGCATCGGCGGAAGAATGAACGTCCGATTGGACAGCTGTAACCCTTACAAAAATTAACCATGGTTTTATTATAGTAAAAATGTAGTAACCATGTTTTTTTTTTGGCGTAGCCTATTAATTAATTCAATTTTATAACCACAAATACTATTTACTACACATACTGTGGATAAACTATGGTTAGTTTAGGAAAACATGGCTAGTTTAACTATAACCATGTTTTTAAAATTTATTTTTTATTATTTTTTATTTTAAAATATTAAAATCACATGGTTACTTTTGGTAAGGAAAGAGTTCCAGAATTGTTTTAAAAAATTTACTGGCTTCAAATGAAGTAAAGTAAATACTTTATGATATCAATAAAATGTACACATTTACATTTTAGAAACAATAAGCCATTTGATTTTTTAAATCTTATCGATCCTTTTGTCTGTGTTCAGCTCCTGATGTGTCTGTGGTGAGCAGCAGTGTATCTGGACATGAAGGTGGTGATATCAGTGTTCAGTGTCTCTACAGTCCTAGATATCAGGATAAACTCAAACAGTGGTGCAGATATAAAGATCAGAGCTGTTACACAGTGGGGAGGACTGACACATCCCAGAATTCATCAGTCCAGATCAGTGATGATGATGGGGGAAGATCCTTCACTGTGCTGACGACTGGACTGAGACTGACTGATTCTGGCTGGTACTTCTGCTCTGTAGGAGATCTGCAGGTTCCTGTTCAACTCACGGTCACTGAACCCAAAAGAGGTAAGATCACAAACCAGTTTAGCCATGGTGACACTCTTAATTTTATTAAATCTAACATATTTTTGTTTCTTTTCAAGCATTTACAACTATTCCGGCAACTGCACCATCTGACTCTGAGGCAGACATGTAGGTGTAAACTTACTTGACCATTTAAAAAATCAATCACATCCAATAATTTTCTAGCCAGAATATTTTAATGTGACATCACAACCAGGGGTTGTAAAAAAAAGGCAAAAACTTTCAGTTTATATGCTGTGAATCTCTATAGTGATAGATTGTTGATTAGTCTTTTTTTTTTAAATAAAAACTTCATTTTATTCTGTAAATATTACTTTTGATTTTATGTTTTTTACCTAAAATAGATGATCTCTATCATGTTATTCCAAACAGATACAACATATTTAAAAAAATGTTTTTACATTTGAATAATAAACAGTAAGGAACCGTTACACCGAGTTTATCAGACTGCTTAGGAACAGTAATAGCTAATTAAGATATGAAATTTATAAAATCATTAATTTCTCTGAAAAACCATAAAAGCCAACGTAAAATATTCTGGATGCACCATATACTATGGAAACACATTTCCGCCACATAATAAATAATGTTTTGGTAAATCATAATTATGATTATGATATAAAATGTCAAAATTATGAGATGAGAAGTCAAAATTTGATGTAAAAAGTCAACATTATGAGATAAAACATGAAAACTAAACTAAAATTAAAATTTATGACAAAAATAAATTGTTGGAAAGTTGACATTTTGAAATAAAAGTTAAAATTATGACATACGTAAGTCATAACTTTGTGATTAAAAGTTACAATTATGACAAAGTCAAATTTTCGAGATAAAAAGTTATAATTATTACATACAAAATTTCTAGGAAATTTCTATTTTCTTGGAAATGGCCTTCCATAACAAACAGCTATAATGATAACATTATGCTCAAACTAAGAAACTTGTTTCTCCATTTCTGCTATTTCCAAGAGCTATGATTTCTGATTCAAAACCTGAGACAGACAGGTAAGTGTAAACATTGTTATTCAGTCATTCATAATAGTAACTGTATTGCCAGACTGTTACATGCACCATAGTAATGTTATTTTTAATTGCAGAGCTGAAACCCATCCATCTCTAACAGCAGCCTCAGAGACTGTTAATACTGAAATACACAGCAGCACGGATGAGCAAAACAAGTAGCTATTTAAGGCAGTTGCTTGAAATGACATCTCTAAATTACAAACAAAGCTTTACAAGATTAACCTGCTGCTGTTATGATCAAAACAAATATATCTCTTCATCACTACAGGTCTGATGTGATTCTGGTCACGTGTTTGCTTTCGATGTTTATGCTGTTACTGATTGTTACTCTTGTTGCCATAGTAACCTGGAGGCTGAGAAAAAAGCCCGGTGAGTTTCTCATAAATCAATAAATGGACATAATATATATTTATAAAGGAGATAATAAAGTGACTCGAGAGGCATTCAACTAGCACATTTATAGAAAAATCGAGCCCGGTCTCATGAAAATGCGTATAAATAGTTCGCCAAATAAAAACGTGTGGTATTGATACGCAAAAATGGACTTTGGCGTGCATATGATACGCATGTGTTCGGTGTGCATATAATACGCAGTTTTCGCGTGCATATGATACGAAATTTGTTGGCGTACATATGATACGCATCTACCCCACAGCCCTAAACCTACCCATCGCGTAGCATATACACGCCAAAGTCAATTTTTGCGTATCAATACCACGAGTTTTCGTTTTTATTTGGCGTACTATTTATACGCACTTTCATGAGATCGGGTGGGACAAAATCGGTCAAATATAAAGTTCATCGTCTTGATGCAAGCACATTTGACCATAGAATGATTAGATTGACCAATCAGAATCAAGCATTCCAGAGGGCTGTATAAAATAAATAGTATTTTATACTATTTGTGTATTTTATTCATAAACCCCTGTTAAGTCTAATTTTGGTTCCACAAATAACCTATCAGTGAACAGTTCTTAGAAGAACCTTTTTTTCTTAGTGTGAAGAACATACAAATCTATAGAACATTTTTTCACTAGAAAGACATTTTTGTGGAATGGAAAGATTCAATGGATGTTAATAGTGTAAAATATTATGGGATTTAATCTTCATATCTCACTTTGACAGAGAGGGGTCAAATTAGAGAAGGGCATTTTAACAGCACCAGAAATACAGTAAGTATTTTAGGATTTTATTAACATACTGATGCAATTCAGAAGTCTTCAGAGAAGAACACATTCACCCAAAACTCATTTACTGAGATGCTGATTGCAAATGAATGATCGTCATGTGTGTTTTTTCACAGTCCTCTGCCTCAGTGGATGATAATTCAGTGATTTACAGTTCTGTGATTACCTTTCGTAAAGCAGTAAGTGTCTCCTCTTGAGATTTTTGTAAAAGTGATGTGCAGTTTTGGCAGGGGCTGTATGTTTGTCTAGTTAAAAAGGGAAATTTGTTTGTAAATTATCACTATTTTTGCATATCCATTATGTGACACGTGTGGCACTGAAATGACACACTAAGGGTTGTGATGCAGAAATGAGATTCTCAGAGCTGATCTTGTTTATTCACAGCCTTCATCATCAGTGAATTCAGAAGGTGAAGTGATCTACAGCTCTGTGAAATAAACTCCCAAGCCTGTGAGTTCTGAATGAAGTTATGAGAAAGCGAAAGTCAATAATTGTAAATTAATAAAATTAATTAATTTCAGTTTAGACAGTGTGAAGGTTCAGTGCTTAACGTATGCAACTAAAACATGTGAGTCATATGCTGGTTGGCAATACTGTGAAAGCAAAATGAATTATTCAAGGCTTACTGTACATAGTTGTGAAGTACATTTCTGAAGTAGATATGCATATTACAGGTATATTCCAGAATGAATTCATGACCAAATCAACACTTTAGAAAGAGTTGAAATATTCTGTAATGTTTCTACTCACTCTTTCTTTTAAGTCCACATTAGGCCTACATCATTTTTAGAGTTGCATACAGTAAATGCAGTTTTGTTAGTTGCAATGAAATCGTTTTTTAAAATAAGGTTATTTTTAATATTAAATTAAATTGTACTTTTATTAATTTCAATGGCACCTTTTAAAAAACCAATAAAAGTGTCTGCATGAAATAGTTTATGTACCTTGCTTACACACATTGCTTATATATATTTTTATGTCTTTTCTGTATGTGTAGCGCCATCTGTTGGACAATTTTACCTCTACATAAACATGAGCGATATAATTTTTTATGCATTTCTTTGTCTGTTCAATAAATCCATATCAACGTTTATTAAAACGCACAGGTCATGCAGCTTTTGTGTCGTCCAAGAATCATCTCACATGTGTGATATTGTCATTGTCAGTATTTAATATCTCAGTGAGTTTTTCGCACATTTTCTAACATTTTAGCTTTAATTCTGAAGTGGATTTGTCACACCTGAACATCCTGAACTTTCATTCACACTTTTGCACAATAATTCCTTTCATTATTTGACATAGTAACCAGTGCTGGTTGTCTGTAATGCCCTATAATTGTGTGTAGGTTAAATCGATTAAATACTCTAACCAGTTCAATTATGCGTTTTTTCATATGTAATGTATTTATAGAGTTCCAGAGCTACATAGTTTAGCAGTTTAATTAATTAGTAATAGTCAACTTTTTTGACGCAAGAGCGGCGCAGCCTTTTTTATTTTTATTTTATTTTTAATTGAACCAATAAAAAAAAAAACAGGGGATACATATAGTATATCATCGCTGAAACCATTTTCACCAAAATGGTTTTACCAGCTTTCTTGTTAAACGATTAGCAAACAGAGTCATAGAAGCTTTAAATCAATACAGAAAAGCCTAAGATTGGAATCTGTAACTTTGTATTTATGATTATGTATTTATGATTTATTGATGATACTGTCCACAGAGAGTTAGCTGGTTTAACAAATCATACAACTCATTTGATCCTGAGTCCCAAATCATAAATAAATAAATATATACATAAATAAAAACAGTACATTCGTTGTTTCAGAAATAATTTTTAAAAAGTTTGTTTTAAGTTGAGAGAAAACAAGCCAAAATACTTAAAAAAAATAAAAAAAAACGAGTGTGGGATTGTTTCAATGTGCATCGTGAAGAGCGCGCCATTTGTAACTAACTTGTAAATGCGAGGCTTCCAGGGTGCATTCCAGAAAGCAAGGGTAACTGTTTTTCTACATGAGACTCACTTCACTGAAGAAGATGCTGCTTTTTGGAAAATGCAGTGGGATGCGACTGTTTTGTTTAGTCATATGTCTCCAGTCAATCAGCAGGGCTGCGTTCAGCCCCGACAAAACGGTGCAAAATGTTTTTTAAACGGAAACGATGGTGCGTTGCACTCTGTTCTGATGACTCAAGAGTTGCAACTATGGCAGCTGAGAAGGCCATTCTTTGTTTTTTTTTTGAAGAATTTTCGGAGCCTGATGAAATCAGTATAAATACGTGTTTAATACTGCAAAATATGCTCGATGTTACAGTCACTGTTAAACGGAAACGGTGGTGCGTTGAACACTCTGTTCTGATGACGCAAGAGTTGCAACTATGGTAGCTGAGAAGGCCATTCTTTGTGGGTTTTTTTTGAAGAATTTTCGGAGCCTGATGAAATCGGTATAAATACGTGTTTAATACTGCAAAATACGCTCGATGTTACAGTCACTGCCCTTGCTCTCCAGAATAAAAGAGAACATCCCAATCAAATGAAGGGATTTGTGGAAACTGTGGTTCCTAATTATTGTGATCCAACATTTGTCTCGCATTTCTGGATGAAAAGACAAACATTTCAGGTGAAGGATAATCCACTTCTTACCTCCGAGACTGTGTTAGGATCTATATGACCTTATTATTTTTATTGTGAGTATTAGGCTTATCATTATTGCTGATCACTGTTGTTGTGCTATGTTATTGTAATATTTACCATTATATAATCAGAGGGGTATAGAAAAGTTTATGAAAGTGTCACTCCATAATACAATAGCAAAATATATAAATATGTGTATTTTTATGTTACATTAATCAGTGTCTAGCACGCCTTCCTAAGGAAAGGATATGGATCAGAAGACATTGCAATTACTAAATGATATGTAGAGAGACTTAAAGAAGTTCCAGATCTATACTTAGCATTTCTTATTTCTTAGAAACTCTCCCACCAAACAAGAGAAAACGTATCTCAAACCCCTTTGCACACCGTTTCCAGGAAACATGCCGTTCAAACCGGAAACCGAAGCAAAACGTTGTGCACCGGTTTGAGCTTGAACTTGCCCCTGGTGTCGTCATATGCCTGAGCAATTGCCCTGGGAAGGTTGTGACTTTTCAGTATGATGCTGCTCATGGTCATTGCTGCTGTGGATAATTTTAAAGGTCTTTTTCTTATTTTAGTTAGCCTAATGTTTAGTTATACCAGTGGTTTGCAAAACAAGATCTTGATTTCTAATATTACAGCAGTTGTTGCACAGCTTAAATCGAAATTTCATACACATTTTGTACTAACTGAAAAAAAAAAAAAAAAAAAAAAAAAAAACTGCTTAGTCAAACTTTGAAGCTTTTGTGAATCATTTGTTTACAACCAGCGAGTCGGAGTGCGTATCAAACTGCCAAAGTCTTTTTTTCATTTCATGTTGCAAGATTCGTCATGTCATAGAGCAAACGGAAGTGAGCATCCCTATGCCCTACTCCCTTTGAAGGGCAGAGCTTTTGAAGTGTGTTCTTTGAAGGGTGTAGGTCATTACTGTCTCGAATAAGCGTTTGGAACTCCCCTGGCGAAGGGAATGGGGTCATTTTGACCCGCCACTGGAAAAGCATGGAATTTACGAAAAAACTGCTGATTTTTTAAATTAAATTTTGTCACACTTGAGCATGGAGTACACACAAAAAAATTTGAGTCGATTCGAGGATTCTATGTGGGTGTAATAAAAAAGTAACAAAAAATGTCCCTAGTGAGTCATTTTGACCCGGCCATAGGAATGAATGGAATGTACGAAAAAAAACAGCATTTTTTTTATGGTTTTATAAAAAAAGTAACAAAAGTCTTTTTGCCCCGCCACTGGAAAAGCATGGAATTTACGAAAAAACTGCTGATTTTTTAAATTAAATTTTGTCACACTTGAGCATGGAGTACACACAAAAAAATTTGAGTCGATTCGAGGATTCTATGTGGGTGTAATAAAAAAGTAACAAAAAATGTCCCTAGTGAGTCATTTTGACCCGGCCATAGGAATGAATGGAATGTACGAAAAAAAACAGCATTTTTTTTATTTATTTGATTTTTTTACTATAAAAAATCCCCTCCACACACACACACACAAACACATGGCACACACACTCCCATTAAAACACATGCTGGGAAATGACTGTGATTTTGAAATTTTTTTTTTTACAGTTAAATTTGAGTGATGGGGTGGAGACCAATGAGTTTATATCATATTTATATTTTTAAATGTATCTTTTATATTTATTACATATTTATGAAACTGTATGAATATGCATGTGTTTAGATGAAAATTCAGTATCAATTTTTTTTTTTTTTTACAACATAAAATGAGATACATCTGAAAGCTTAATGAAGCCTTAAGTTGGTGTAGTTTTAAAGATTTCACTTGTTTGGCTCATTTAAGACTCTATACGATTCTAAAGGCCCCTAGTGGCTGTAATCATAAAATGCAATTTTATGTAATTTTTCCCCACCAGATGGCATCAGAGACACTCAGTGACCTAGGTCCTGATGGATCATCATGTTTAAAGTATAAAT